CTCAAGTGAGTTTCCTGCCTCAGCCTCCCAAGTAGCTGGGACCACAGGCGCCCGCCACAACGCCCAGCTAGTTTTTGGTTGCAGCCGTCATTGTTATTTGGCAGGCCCGGGCTGAATTTGAACCCACTACCTTAGGTGTATATGTCTGGCGCCTTAGCCACTTGAGCCACAGGCACCCAGCCTACAAGTTGTTACCTAATAGATCTTCTCAGTTTAAGGGAAGAGTCAGTAAGATCCATAGGAATGTCTTCCCTTAGTACCTTCATATACCCAAGGTCATCACAACTAAATCTAGAGAGAAGTTTGTCTGATAAAAAAATTATGTACCTGGCTTTGGTCCAATGGAGTGGACTTAAATCAGATTCTACATAGAAAGCACATGATGCTTTAAAAAAGTTGTACAATGTGAAAGTGCTCCCAACTAAAATGGTTTGAACTGCTGGGCCCCAAGCTTCTATAGGCAGGATATGCTCTGAGATGTGTCCTCAGTTACTGACAGGTGCTATTTCTTTAGAAGTAGCCAAGGAGGATGATAGAAAAGAAAGGTGTTTCAGAGAGTGTAGCTAAGAACTCTGGTGACCAAGGGACCAGGGAGCCATTTGAAGACAGCAGAACTGGGCCCTACTCAAAGAACATTCCCTGCCTCTGGTGTAGAGGGGCCTGGCAACATTACTGGCTGGGAGTACATAGAGCAATGACACCCATGTGCCTGCTGCTAGGTGCTATCAACTTTAATTGAATGTCTAGCTCAGTGGTTAGGGAGCCAGCCACATGCTCTGAGGCTAGTGGGTTCAAACCTGGCCTGGGCCTGCTAAAAAAAAAAAAAGCTGGGTATCGTGGCAGGCACCTGTAGTCTCAGCTACTAGGGAGGCTGAGGCAAGAGAATCGTGTTGAGCCCAAGAGTTTGAGGTTGCTGTGAGTTGTGATACCACAACACTCTACCGAGGGCGACATAGTAAGACTTTGTCTAAAAAAAAAGCATATTGAGTCACTCAAGGGATGAACAGCTAAAATAGTCTTCAGACACTGGTGCAAAACTCTGAAAGAACGAGCTCATTGGCAAGAGAGGCAAAAAACTTCTTCCCCACAGGACTTTTGGTCATTGTGCTAGATTCAAGATCATCTAAATTTAACAATATTTTTTTTCCTTTTCTTCTTTGCAGTTTCTGGCTGCCCGATGATTATTTTGGCAACTTAAGCAAGCATATTAATAATGGCATACCAGAACTCTGATAACGACTCCCACTTCTGCCAGCTACCCATTACATTACAGAGAGATGTGATATATCCCATATCTCTTCCTCTTGGTAAGCTCTGTGGCTCTGCTAACACCCCACCTATTCTTCCTCCCTCTAAGCCAGTGGTTCTCAATCTTCCTAATGACACGACCCTTTAATACAGTTCCTCATGTTGGAGTGACCCCCAAACGTAAAATTATTTTCTTGCCTCAGTTTTTCATTTTTAGTAGAGACGGGGTCTCACTTTTGCTCAGACTGGTCTGGAACTTGTGAGCTCAAGCAATCCCCCTGCCTCAACCTCCCAGAGTGCTAAGATTACAGGCATGAGCCACTGCACCCAGCCAAGACATCATCCTTGATCTTGAAAAGCTCAAGGTCTAATAAAACAGAGAATACACCAATAATCATAATAAAATACTAGTGAGCAATACATATTGCATTATGGTAACACAGATGAGAACTACGGGGATGTAGATATGTATAAAGAGTATTGAAAAAGCATTCTTTTTGGCTTAGGGCCTATAGCACAGTGGTTATGGCTCCAGCCACATACACTGAGGGTAGCAGGCTCAAACCCAGCCTGGGCCAGCTAAAAACAATTACACCTGCAACAAAAAATAGCCAGGCATTGTGGCAGGTGCCTGTAGTCCCAGCTACTTGGGAGGCTAAGGTAGGAGAATCTCTTAAGCCCAAGAGTTGGAGGTTGCTGTGAGCTGTGACACCACAACACTTTACCAAGGGTGACATAGTGAGACACTG